GGGGGGGGGGTTCTCAGCAAGTGCCACACTTCTCTCTTATGTGAGACTCCGAGTTGATTGCTTCTGTTTCTTTTGTGTTGTGGCTGATTTTGATTTAACTTTTAATCCATGTGTCTGGGGTTCCAGTAGGAGACAGATGGTTCACTCAGGGGGAGAACTAAGAAACTCTGCTGATGGGACTGTGTACAGTGGCTGGGGCAGGAGAAACCAGCACTGATACCGAAGCATCTCAGGGATTGATGTCAGGAGCTGTTCCCATGCCCAGGCCTGAGAAGAAGAGGGCGGGACTGGTTATGGGAACTGGGAAGAGAAGCCATATGGAAAGGCTCTCTCTGGTAGCAGGATGCAGTCAGCCTACACCAAAGTGGCTGGGAAAGAGCCAAGAGAATAAATATCCTTATTGAACTCCCCTCAGTTCTCCTGATGGTGCCTCTCATAAGCATACCGGCCAGAAGCCTGAAGGCAGGGTCCATGCGATACTGTCCACAGAGATCAGAGCCTCGGGGGGCACAGAGCTGAGGGGGAAGGGTGGAGGAATGAAAATGGAGGTGCAATTGGAAGATATCTGACCCAGCAAGAGGTGCAGATTGCTTGGATTATATTATAAAGGAGGTTTCTACTTTAGAACTGAAACCATTGTCTGTGAGAGCCAGAAGGAACAACAGAAATCCTCTAGTCAAACTTAGACCTTTTTATAGTTGGAAAGACCCAGGGAAGTCAAGCGATTTGCCCAAGACCATTCATTACTTCATGAAAGCGTTTCTTGAAAGCCCATTACATTTTCTTGAGAAGAAAGCAGTTTGGAAACAGTGTAAAGCAAAATCCGAGCAAGTGCTAGGAAGAAGCTATGCATTAGTGCTTATTTCTTATTTGTCAGTTCGGATTCTTTGGGGTTGTGACTATCAGAACACCACACCCAGAGGGGTTCCCACAGCACAGGGAACTAATTAATCAGCTCCTGGAGTGGACTGCAGGGTGGGTGTGCAACAGCTCAGCATGCCATCAACCGGCCAGTTTCTGTGTCTCTGCTCGCTCTTCCACCGTGTCAGTTCATCCTCAGGTTGGCTTCTGTCACAGAGGCAGAATGGCTGCGCAAGTTCTTGGGCTCCTTGACGCACATCCCTGTGACCAGAAGAAACATTACTCTTAGTAACTCTTTTTTTTTTTTTTTTTAAATATATCTTTATTGATTTCAGAGAGAGGAAAGGAGAGGGAGAGAGAGAGACAGAAACATCAATGATGAGAGAGTCATTGATCGAGCCCAGGACCTGGGCATGTGCCCTGACGGGGAATCGAACCCCGATCGCCTGGATCCTAGGTCGACTCTTAGTAACTCTTTAAAAAGACTGAGAACTTATCTAGTCCAGAAATCCCTCCCCTGTCAACCAATCCTGGCACTTCATTGGCCTGAATTGAGTCTTGTGCTTATTCCTTAGCCAATCCCAATGGCCAGGCAAATGCCCTGTGTTGATTGGCGGGGCTGGGAGATTTGTCTTCTGATTGGCCAATCCCTCCACTGAGGGGAGTGTGTCAGCTTCCCAAGGAGCAGGGGGCCCACAGGTAAGCAGAGCTCTGGGCTCTGCCCAGGGAGGAGCATGGGTTCTGGGAGAGGGGCAGCTGGCGTCGTCTATATTGTATCATCTGTAGAAATTTTACTAATTTGGATTAATTGTTGGGGGTAGTAGTGAAAAGAAACCCGCTCTTAGCTAGCAAAAGTCTGAATTTTAAAGTGTTTGAACACAGTGTGGTTTCAGATGAACTCCTCCCAACTCTTGCTGTTGGAATGCTTGCGATTAGCTTCTGCTTTTCAGTATGTCTTAAAACCTAGGACTTTCTGGGAGGTTCAACATGCCTCCTGCATTTGTTTAATTTCTAATTTGCTTATTCAACCTTTTTATAGCCAGGGTAAACACTGAACTCAAATTTGAGGTCAGTGGAGATTAAGTTATAGTCACGGCTCCTCATTTATAACCTCATCTGTAAAGTGGGAATAAGACTAGCACCTACTTTATAGGCTCATTGTAAGGATTAACTGAGGTAATTTAAGTAACGAGCCCAGTGGCCCAGTGGCTGGCCCAATAAATGTTACCTTTATTAGCGTCATATATCTCCAAATATTGTCACATGTATGTGTTTAGTGCATATTTAATCTGGGAAGTTAACTCACTTCACATGAAATATATTATCTGTTACTGATTAGCTCTGTTAGAGACAAAGTAAATAAAGGTATTAAAAAATTTAGTGTTTATGGATTTTTTTTTTTAACTGAAGTCGGATTTTTTGGAGAATTTATTTTGGGGCAAACCTCAAAAAAGAAAATTTTAGATAGCATACAGTTAAGTTAAAGGTAGGTATAGAATCCCTGGAAAAATAGGGATTTTTCATTTTACTCTAAAATATTAACATATTCTTAATTGAAAAATCTTTTAAACAGTTGATGGCCTGTCGTGACCTATCCCGGCTGATTTTCTTGCCTTTGTTCTCAGTTTGGAGATCTGGAGGGGCTTTGGTTTCCTAAAGCAGCCGCACAGTTGGGCTTTTCTGAGTGGATGGATTTTAGGGCCGCCTGGATTGGGGGAGATGCTGCCACGGCCAGAAGCTAGTCTTGCGCATTTATTTCAGTAGAATTTCAGCTGACAAAATACTGTGACTCCTTCTCTAGAGCCTTTGGCGCCATAAGGCTGACCTCTCAGAATCCCAGAAGGGTGTAGTGTCTTGATTTGGGGCTCCCTGATTAGCGATGGGGAGAGCACAGGTTGTTACCGAACCCCCAACTTTATTACCTGTGTTCCAAAACCAGGCGGAGCTGGCTTTGTGGGTCGGGGTGGATAAGGTGCAGCGAGGGGCCTGGGGATAGAGGAAAAAGTTCTAGAGCAACTAGGAGCTTATAGACCACAGGTTTATAGACCATAAAAATTTTCAACCCCCCTCTCCCCCCAGTACTGATTAAAATTAGACTTTAAATTTTCTGTAGGTTGGTTGTTGCCCTGAGGCTGGTCACCATTGTGATAACTAGATGAGAACAAGTGATAACTAATCGACCCACCCTGAATTTCATGGTTCAGAGGGTGCTCTAGGCAAGTGGTTCTCACACTTAGATCACCTGGGCCAAGAAACTACCGAAATAAAAAGATTTGCAAGGTTGGCTTAGGGCTACCAATTTTTTATTTTTCTAAGCAATGATGTTTTAAAAAATCTAACATCTGTCACTATAATTTCATAATAGAAAGGACTATCTTAATGCTAAAATAGAAGGAAGGAGAACTTTAAAAATATAACATGAATCTTTACATTGACAACAGTCAGCTTTAAGAAGAATTTCCTATATTGTTCTTATTTTTCTGGCAACACCTGTGAAACTACATCAAAGATGGGTGCTGCCTGCCATCTCCCCATAGCAAGTATCGGGGAGATAAGTTATCTACTTAATGTGCAACTGTGGGGGAGGGGGGAATAAAGCCCCTCTTGGAGCACAAGAATCCTCTAAAGTCACATCTTTATTTGATTTAGAGGGATGGGAGGAACTCACTTGAACACAAGTCTTGATAAATCCAATTCATTTTGTAAGTAAGGAACTGTTTACTCTCATTAGAATTGTTAGTTTAATTTTCCACCAGTAGGAAGAAAATCTTGCAATACCTAAATTATTCAAATTTAAAAGTATATCAACACCCAGGTGGACACGGCACAGTGGTTGAGCATTGACCTAGGATCCAGGAGATGGCGATTCGACTCCTTGTCAGGGCACATGCCCGGTTGGGGGCTCGATCCCCAGTTGGGGACATGCAGGAGGCACCCGATCAATGACTCTCTCATCATTGATGTTTCTCTCTCTCTCTCTCCCTGTCCCTTCCTCTCTCTGAAATCAAGAAAGATATATTTAAAATAAATAAATTAAAATAAAAGGTTTATCAACAGTTTTTCTTTTTCCACATTTTAAACCTAAAAAAAGAAATATCTGTTCAGTTTGATTTGGCTTTCAGTTGTGTGGTTTGCCTCTGTGAGTGG